TTCGGAGTTGACTTAGGGTGTTCCTGGAAAAAATAGTTTTTTAACAATAACTTTTTTATTTGAAAATTCTCATGAAAGTTATCTACTAGAGACTTTCAAAACTCTTTAAGACGAATGTTTTACTTTTGAATTTGTTGCCTGTATCTCTTCTAATAAAAAAGATATACTCAAATATAGTAAAAAATATGAATAAATTCAAATTGATTTTATACGAGTTTAAAAAATAACATACCTCCAATTTTTCCAAATTATTGAGAATAATATACGCCCTTTCAAATGCTGCAAAAAAACTTTTTTTTTGTTTGCCCCAAACAGAGATATTAACATTTGAAAAGTGCATATTTTTAGTATAAAAACGACAATAACTCTTGATCGGCGAAAGATATTGACAAACTTTGTGTAACAAAAATTTGCGCCTTCTTAAGATCTAAAAGTTATCTGAAAACACCTTTGCTGAGAAATTCGAAATAAGAAAAATAGAGCAAAAAAACTGTTTTTTTAAGAGCCACCCTAACTCAATTCAAGGAAATAGTTCTAAATCGGCCAATTTAAGAGATACAAAAAAGTTATTTTCATCAAAGTTGCTTGAAATTAGCTCAGCTATAACTTTGCCGAAGAATGTATACCTTAATTAATTCAAACAAAAAAGTTAGATTTTTGATTTTAATGATAATAGGAACCACCCTAGAATTCATTGTCATAAAAATGAGGGCCTAACTATAAGGAACAACTTTGTAGAAGAGACTTTTAGTCTAAAGTTTCAATTTCAGGCTCAAAACATATCATTCCACCTAAATCTGCATTCTGTACCACTGTGCATTGGCGAACTAAGATCATCTCTCCATACGATTGTGAAGGTTATCCAACAAAATGTACTGATTGACGATATAAAAAGGGTTGAGAATGGAGAACCTTGTCGAAAAATCGGAATGCTAGGACCTTTTCTGGAAGATGGGGTTCTACGTGTTGGAGGACGGATTCAGAATTCCCGGGTTCCCCTGAGTACGAAACACCAGTACATCTTGCCAAATCACCCTCTGACCGATCTTCTCATTCGAGCATACCACGAGGAACACCTCCATGTCGGACCGTCTGGTTTGTTGTCCGCTCTTCGTCAACGCTTTTGGTTGCTGGGTTCTCGATCGGCTGTACGGAAGATTACACGAGGATGTGTCCGATGCTTCCGTATAAAACCTAAGGGAGTTACTCAATATATGGGTAGCTTGCCAGTTAGTCGCGTTACTCCTGCAGCTCCTTTTGAAGTATCTGGAGTCGATTATGCAGGGCCGTTCGTTATTAAGCATGGAGTAAGGAAACCAATTCTCGTGAAGGCATACATTGCGGTTTTTGTATGTCTGGTAACAAAATCCATTCATCTGGAATTAGTGTCGGACATGACTACGGCTGCCTTCATCGCCGCTCTACAGAGGTTTATCAGTTTGAGAGGTTTAGTTAGAGAGTTGCACTCGGATAACGGTAGCAATTTCCGAGGTGCCCGGACAGAACTACATGAGGTTTTTGTCTTATTTCGTGATCACTCCGCTGTTCATGAAATTGAATCCTTCTGCCAAACCAAGGAAATTGTTTGGCATTTCATTCCACTAGATGCTCCCGAGTTTGGAGGCTTGTGGGAAGCTGGCGTCAAAAGCACAAAGTACCACCTGAAGCGAATACTCAAGGAAACTCCGTTGACTTTCGAAGAATTCTACACGCTGCTTACTCAAGTGGAAGCAATTCTAAATTCACGACCTTTGTTTTCCCATTCCGATGATCCAACTGAAGGCGAAGTAATTACCCCTGCACACTTCCTCATCGGAAGACCACTTACCGCTATTCCTGAGCCTTCCTATGAAGGCCTGAGTAAAAACCGGTTGTCCAGGTGGCAGCATTTACAGCTAATGAGAGAGCATTTTTGGAGGTCTTGGGTCCATGATTATCTTGTTAGTTTGCAACCAAGGGGTAAAAATCAGATTCGTCAGCCCAATGTTAACCCCGGTTCAGTCGTTTTACTCGAAGATAAAAATTTGCCACCACAGCAGTGGAAATTGGGAAGAATTGTCCACTCGCACCCTGGCGAAGACAACTTAGTGAGAGTTGTTGATGTAAAAGTGGGAGATACAGTTTACCGACGCCCAATAACGAAAATTTCCATTCTACCCATAGATGACAATAAGCCTAAAGTCAACAATCAGGAATCTCCAGGTGAATCATCGAATCGCGTGGGGGAGGATGTTCGCAACAGCGAATAAGTTTCGACACGACCCTGCACCGCCGCTGGCACTGTAAACGTCCTGAGTTTACCGACCGTCAATGCATCAGCAGCAGAAAAAATCTCCCTTCCTTCCTCCTCATCCTTTTTTTTACTAACCCCGAGATAGCCGCGGGAAAACGGCCTCCCTACTAACATGACAACAACCAATCACAATCAAGATTGTATTTTATAGTACACTTTTCTATCCTTTTTACCCCTTGGTTGCAAACTAACAAGATAATCATGGACCCAAGACCTCCAAAAATGCTCTCTCATTAGCTGTAAATCCTGCCACCTGGACAACCGGTTTTTACTCAGGCCTTCATAGGAAGGCTCAGGAATAGCGGTAAGTGGTCTTCCGATGAGGAAGTGTGCAGGGGTAATTACTTCGCCTTCAGTTGGATCATCGGAATGGGAAAACAAAGGTCGTGAATTTAGAATTGCTTCCACTTGAGTAAGCAGCGTGTAGAATTCTTCGAAAGTCAACGGAGTTTCCTTGAGTGAAATGCCAAACAAGAGTCACAATCAGCGATTTTTCACAAACTCACTCACTCACTCACTCACTCACTCACTCAGCGATCAGAAAATCGCTGATTGTGACTCATAGAAAGCAAAATTTACAGGTTTTATGTTTCAAACGCATACTATGCAACCTCTTCTTGTAAGTTACAAGTAAAACATGCCATCATACCATCTTTTTGTTTTAATACTTCAAAAAACATTATTTTAGCTGAAATGAGTATTTGCAACCTTGATTCTGCGTAGAAAATAGAAATAAGAGGGAACTAAAACAGACAATAGTGGATTAACAACAAGAGTTCACGCGTGTAGAATGAAAAAGATAACAATAAAACAAACCGAAAGTGAGAAATTCACTGAAACACCAAATCATAGTGACCTGCGTCAAGAAAGCAAGGAATGAATTTCAGGCTGTGTTCCATTTGGTGAATTTTCACTTAAATTTGACTGACGTAAAATTTATAAATAAACCTGCTACTGTCTCAGACTTATTTCTGACAGAACAGGAATCAATTTTAACGGCGCTGGTGGTGTAGTGGTAAGCGTGATTACCTCTCACCCCAGCAGGCCTGGGTTCAATCCCAGTCGGCGCCGCCGGAATGTTCTGAGGCATAACATCTCTGATCACGCCTTCCTTCGGATGGGAAGTAAAGCCGTTGGTCCCCGGTTCATGAGTTGATGGGTCGATAGGTAGGGTCCAGGTGTGGGAGCTGCCTTCCTGGCACGTCGGTAGCATTGGTGCTCAGCACGGAAAACAAGATCGACGGAAAAAACAAACCAAAGGAAAACAAAAAAAATGAATCAATTTTGACAAACACCTTTTAGAAACTCGGAAGAGCAACAACAGAGGAAAGTGTCAAATTTAAGTGAAAACATTTATGCGCTGATGTGTATCTTATAGTGATTTTCAGAATACAAGTTCAACATTTTTCAACTCTGACTTTAGGCATGTAGTGCCTTGGGGAAATTTTAGTAGAATTTTGTGTGCTGTCCTTTGACGTATTTTTTATTTTGATTAATCACCCTAGAAGTGAGAAGAAGCATCTACTTTTTTTTTCATTTGTCAATATAATGCATTGGTGTCTTCAGCAAAGTTGTAGAAAAGATTATTACAATGAGCTTTGCAGAAAACAGTAACTTTCCATTTTTCCGTTTTTATCAGTAAAAATTTAATTTGTCATGAACGATCCCTAAAAATCAGTTTTGTATCCTAATTTTTGTTCCGGCTCATTGGCAGATCGAAAAATAGAAATTTTTCAGAACATTGTATGCCAGTTTTTTAGAATACTGTAATTTTTGATCAAAAATAGTCCTTTTTTGCGTCTAAATTAGTCCATCATTAGGCAGCAGATGCACCAGATTGTAAATGCTACAAAATCCAAAAGGATTAATCAATTTTATATGCAATCCTCGGAATCTTCTTTCCGAAGCAACGCCCTTGAATGTATCCATATTCAATCGTTTTTTTTTTTCTCTTCCTTTTCCAATCTCGGCATTATCCCCCAGACAGTTCAAACGCAGAAAACTTACAAATGGAAATGATGATTCTTTGTATCCACCCACCGCTGACGCTACGTAGATTTGATGTTTATCCTTCTGTCCAAAGTTCCAGGAAAAGTACATCAATCAGTCCGAAAATTATCATTTCGTCATTCTCAAAACAATTCGTCATTCTCAAAACAATTCGTCAACCACCGAACCGTCTTCAAATTCAAAAACAATTAAAGACCCGCACTGGGATGGGTGACATCAGCAAACCAAATTTCCGTAAGTGCTTGCAGTAAAACATGTGCTTCGATATGTGCCCACCCAGCAGAAAATCCTAGCGTGACAGTAAAGTTTAGATTATTCCTGACTTTATCGTGATTCAGCCAATTGGCAGCTATCTCTTCGTGAGTGCGAGACGAAGGAGCGTCATCTCTTAAGAACAACGATTTCGTTTGGATCCATGGTGGTGGGTGGTGTGGGTGGCGGATGTGGTGATGGCTCCCCCAAACGACTGCCACTTGTTGCCTGTTGCCAATGGAAGGATGGATGCTGTTGCTTCTGTTGCAGACCTGAGGCTGGAGATGGATGACGACAATGATGCTGGTTCCTCCTTTTCACTGAAGAACTTTTTCCCTTTTGGTGGGGGTGGGAGATAAACGACCCAGAAAAACCGAAAGGTATAAAAGGCGGGAAAATTCTACCGAGATTCAACAGTTGAATATCGCTGGCTGTGCGTGTCGGGTCGGAGAGATTCGTGCCATACAGGATCGGTTGTGAATAGGTTCGGGTTGGTGACTTGTTTTAGTGCAGTGATTTCAAGTGGATTCTCGAGCAGGATTTACTAGGGGAAATTTTCCGGGCAGTGAAGCAAGTTTTTGTGGAAAATTGTGAACAAGTACGATGAGTGGATCCGGAAAAGGATTACTCGGATTATGGTTGTACCACAGTGGCGAGCAGGAATGGACCGTCAAGGAGGGCAGCCCGCTGCATAAACGGAAGGAATTTGCAGTAAATATCAGTGCCGAGAGAATTTTCAAATTAAAAAAAAAAAACAGTTGGATCAAGTTATGGGTGGATGTTAATTTATGATTCTGGAAATAATTCTGGACTGTATCGATAATAAGTTGTGACATTTTTTTTTTCAATCAAAACCCATGCAGTAAAATTATTTAATACTTAAAATCATGACCCTTTTTAATAAGGTACAATTGTAAATCCAATCCATTAATTTTCGTATATTTTTATTAAGCTGAAAATTATCAGAAACGTTCCTCATGACCAAAACTACCATTTTGCATCTTCAGATCACCATTTTAAATCGAGCCATAATTTTGAAAAATGTTAAGCTTATCTTCAGAAAACTGTTAATCGAAAAATGTTTGTTGAGTGCCATTGGTCATATTTCATCGAGTGGATGTGATTTGATCTGTCGCTTGATATGGTTATGAGAGATATCAAATTTGGCTATGTAGAACCATGATCCGGAACCGATTCTACGGTGGCCATATGGCTCTAAGGTTGTCATTTTGAGTGTCATTGCTCATATTTCGTCGAGTGATGTGATTTGATATGTCGCTTGATATAGTTATGATGGATGATAAATTTGATTATATGGATCCATAATCCGGACCATCCGGAACCGATTCCAACGTAGGCATGGAGTCTTATGATTGCTCTCTACCTTTTTTGGGAGTTCCATGAAAAAATCAATATGTTATCGTAATGGCAGGTATATATGATATGGCATCTCTGAGATAACTTTTTTTGAAAATTACGGGCTTTTACGGGTTAAGATCTTAGAATATCGAAACAAAATTCAAAGTCCACAACAAAACAAACTTTTAAATCAATATCCTGAATAAAAAAAAGTCACAATCAATGTGCAGCAATAAAAAAAAAAATCAATTTACCAAAGTAGTATGAATGTTCCTGAATATCTTGAATTTTCCAATTTTATATGATCCTGGACATCGAAAAAATATCATGATCCCAGAGGTACTAAGACTAAGAAAGATTTCTCAGATTCTAAATTAAGACATTTATGATGTGACTTTTGATATCCTGGGGATTTAAAAAAAATAATTAAAATATAGTTGGAGGTGCTTAACGTCAATATCAGACTGAAAGAGGACATTCTTACACGATAGATGTGGAGATGAAAGTATAGAGTTGATAGTTCCGTTGTACTACGGCAGTATGCAAATTGTATATAGAAAGTAGAAAGTGAGTGACAATTTTGAGGGGCAGCTGCCACACCTGGAACCTACCAATCGACCCACCAACTCATAGACCGGGGGCTTTGTTTCCCTTCCGAAGGAAGACGTGACCAGAGATTGTGTGCCTCAGAAAGTCCCGGCGGCGTTGACTGATATTGGTTCCAGGTCTTTTGGGATGAGAGGCAATCACGCTTACTAAATTTTTAAGAATATTACGAGCAACAATGCAAGTTCTCTGAACTTTCCAGCTAATATCTAAAACTTATGAATCTACAAATGGTGGAATTTCCATAGCTGTGGTATGGCATTTTTGCTCGAATAATGTCGGATTATCATATGTATTCAGTTAATGGTTTGATATTTGCTCCACTGGAAATAATGGTTTTCTCTATTTTATGAACCAACATTAGAAACTTCCACAACTATAAAAATGATTCTTATTAATGAAAGACGAGCTTAATTATTTAGTTTGTAATTGGTTTGTAATAATTATCCAGAAAAAGTATAGTACCAAAGCTGTAGATTCACGTATTAAACGTTCCTCTGTTCGGAACCTAACAGCACCATTTGATCTATTGTAGTATATGCCGTGTCCTTAGTTTAGTGCATGTCATATTACTTCATCACTATTGAGAAATGATGAAGTATTCGATTTTTTCCAGTTGCATTCTTGCATTTATCGCAAGGATTCGACACTAATTGAAAGGTCCCGCTATTTATACTCTTCGGAGTGTTGAAACACACTCCAAATGCACGCCCCTTTGTCAGTCAAAATTGGAATCCTTAGCAACCAAATTAAGGGATGACACCGATAATGACGATGCCACAGAACCCTAGTCTTAGCCACTTCAAACTAGGGAACAACGAATAGAAGATTAGGAATCACATAATTCATTTTTTCCTTGTTTCAAGATCATCCTCGGTGGACAAAGCCGAGTCTTGTCACTATCAACAAGGCATAAAAAGTAACAAGGACTAAGATGTATTCCTTTGATTACTGAAAAATTCTGTTCCCCTAGTTTGAAGTAGTCAGGACTAGGAATCGGTGGTAGATCTTTCATCCCGTAACGTACCACGAAAAGGTGATCTACTCACGTTACGGGGCAAAACGTTTTTAAACGTTAATCAATAAGCTTAATTTATGTTTTGATTTCTTTTATTTCCATCACTCCAACCCTGTTTAGACTTTTTTTTTTGAAAAACGTTCCATCGTCAGGGAATGTTGATGTTAATAGAAGTGTTGATATCAATATTCATAAATATTCGGTATAATCAATATATGATCATTATCCAATTTAGCCTGGTCTTGTTGCCCATGATTTGGACTTTTATAATGATTTTAAACTTTGATAAAACTGAATACTCGGGTTCAGTCCATATGCAAATAATTAGTTTGTATAACCCATCTTCTTGTTGTTCCCAGTTATGGCTTGCACAACTTTACGCAAAAAACCCTCTCCTTAGGACACTCTATTTTAATGATAAAATCGAGTGCATTCTAGGTGGTGGTAACAAGAACTAAACAGAAACTTTAAATCAGTCCGCATCGTACTCTCTTACCGTGCGGATCTATTTGCTTTCTGCTGAAGAAAGTGTTGCTGCTACCTAAAGCTACAACAAATTTAAACAGCACTTTTCAGTGCTCAATATACCTGCCAATTTTCTACCTTGTTCGACTCTTACTCCTCTTCGATCCTTGTTTGGACCCCACCCGAGTAAATCCTTCTTGGATATCGATTTGGAAATTTGAAAATTTTTGATTCTTATAGTAATCTGCTAAGCAATTCGAGAGTTCCCATAATTTCAGTTTGGGTCTTACCAGTCCTATTGAGAATCAGGTTGCTCGGGATTATCTGAATATTTTTTCTCGGGAATATATTTTTAATGATTCCTGGGGGCTGATTTGGACGAAGTAAGATCTATAACTAAAAAGTTTCATAATATGGAAGCTCCAGGTGATGATGGAATTTTCAACATCCTCATCAAAAACTCCCTGAGAGTACCTTGTATTTCTTGGTAAAATTATTTAACAGGTGTTTCCATTTGGTATTCTGCAAAAGTTGTTCCAATTTTGAAGCCAGAAAAAGATCCAGCTGAAGCTTCTAGCTACCGTCCAATAAGTTTGCTTTCTTCAATTAGTAAACTTTTTGAAAAGATAATTTAAATAGAATGACATCAATACGAACTCAATTTTTGCAGATGAGCAGTTTGGATTTCACCATGGGCATTGAACAAAAAGCCCAATTAATTTACTTAAACTTTGCTGTTCACAGTTTTTTAATCATACGCATGAGTTAACATATAATTAATTATGAGTAAGAGGCGGTATGGGAAAAGTGTATTTTTCTGTTTGGCCGCATATACGGCTAGCTAGTTTAGCTAATTAATTATATCTTAATTCATGCGTATGATTAAAAAACTGTGAACAGCAAAGTTTAAGGAAATTAATGGGGCTTTTTGTTAAAAATATTTTCAAGATTGAACACTCAAGAATAACATCTCAAAGAGCGAAAATTGCACAAATTTTGCGATAAGTGAATTTTAACCTACGAGTATCTCGAAAATAACAACTTTGGGCAATTTAAGCATAATGAGTAATTTTTTTGTAAATTTAATATTAGCACTATTTTAAAGATATTTGATAACTGTAGGTGGTCCCTTGGAAAATACTTATTTTTTCAATAATTCATAACTTTTTTGTTTATGATTTGCCCAACAAATGTACAGTGTCAGTAAGTATTACTTTATCTAAACTACAAAATAAATATAAAAAAATAATTTGAAAAAAATTCACAATTTGAGTAATTTTAATTTTTTTTTTTTGATAATTTTGATTTTATTTGTTAAAAAAAAATTATATTTTTTTACAGTATATATTTTTTTTCTTGAAAGGCACAATACTTGTCCGCAACTTCTTCTATCTATCTATCTCAATCAAACAAATCGTTCGCAAGATATATGTTTTTCTATTGATGCGTATTATTTTTGCATAAGCCCTTTTCAAGTGTCAGTCGTGTACAAAACTAGGGAACCAAATATGTAAAATGGCATGTTGAATAATAACAAACAACTGTGCAAAGTTTAAACATAATCGATCGACCTTCTAGATCAAAAAATTTAAAAAAAAATCGTCATTTGAAATGGAACTGCTGAATAGCTGCAAGTTCACCCCAAAGCAGTATTTTCAAATGTTCGAGCAATAACTACTTAAACTAAAACATTCGTAAATAATATAACAAATCAATTTCTAGGGGTTTGTACTAGTTTAAACAGAAAATGAATTGAAAATAAAATACAAGCGACAACAATGTTCACATATTGCTGAAAATCATGATCAATTTTCGCCCGGTTTACGGTATTTAAATTTCATTAAATAGATTTCGGGCCCCGAAAATTTCAAATTATATTGGTGGATAAACAACAGCGATACATCATTACTATTGACAGCGATACATCATTACTATTGAAAGATGTGAGAAATGAAACAAGATTTTTCGAAGATTGGTTCGCTTGTGTGAGATTTTTTGAGTATCTAGAATTGTGATTTAGATGTGTCGCCCCCTCGGATTTGTTACATGTTCTCAACATCAGTTGCACTAATTAAAATTCAATGCTAATTTTTATGTGTCCCACACATGAATTTATGCAATGTGATAAACAAATGATATATATGAGTGGGACACATAGTTCTTATGTGTATTCATAAAATTCATGTGTACCCACACATGCTATTCATTTGTATAATAAATTTCATGTGTACTTCTAAGTGGATTGTGTTTATGTGTGGACACATGAAAATCACGTGGAATTTTACATAGAAATTCGACAATAAAAATGTGTCAAATTTTATGAGTGTAGATTAGCCTATCCGTTAAGCGAGCTTGATCGTCGTTGCAGATTTAAATTCTACTATTGCATTTCAATTAAATACTGCATTTCCAGATTTCAATTCCCATATAAAAGTTTAAAGTGTTAGCATCTTAATTTTACTGGTAATAATTCAAAATATTTTGCTGTTAAGGTGAAAGTGGATCGGTTTAGAATGACTCACTTAATCGATTTTTTACAAAATAACGCAGCGCTCAATCGGGGCCTCCCTTAACTGAGTCGGTAAAGGCGCAGCTATAAAGCAAGACCATGCTGGAGGAGGTTGGGTTCGATTCCCGGTCCGGTCTAGGAAGTTTTCGGGTTGAAAAATGTCTCGACTTCCCTGGGCATAGAAGTATGACTGAACTTGACCCACACAATTATACCAATGCAAAAATGGTACAGGCATCGAAAGCTCTCAATTAATAACTGTGGAAGTGCATCTAGAACACTAAGTTGAGAGCACGCAATAAGCTAATATGCGATATGCAATAAGCTTGAAATTCGAAGAAGAAGAAGAAGAAGAAGAAGAAGAAAATCGAAAAAACTCTTCCGTGCAAAATTAAAGAACTACAATGGCTATCTCTAGCAATTTTTACAAGATTGATTTATTGTTTAAATTTTCTGTAAACGATTTTCTAAGTTCAATTTTAGGACCACAATCATAGTGGTCGCTAACTTTGCTCATCATTTACACAAGTATTTCGTATGAAAGGTCATATTTCACTCCCGTAGATCTTTTCAAAATATTGTTAGGAACAAAGAGAAGCGAAAAAAAAAGGCACACGACGGGGCGATCCATGAATGAATTAGCTAGAAACACCATCAGCACCGTCAGCAGGATCAAGCTCGCGCGTGACGTTTTCCATTTTATTGCGATGATGCATATTGTAAGATATCAGGCATAACATTTGATAACGGCACAAAAGCATTTGTAAACAAACTTTCTAAGGCCCTCTACACGTGAACCAAAGTATGCCCATGTAGTATTTGAGGATTTTCTGCGAAAATTTCAGCCTATTTGATGAAGGTATTCTGTTATATCCTGGTATTTTTAAAGATAATTAGATAATTCCACGAACTTCGGCATAACTTCCCTGAAATTCGGCAGAACTTCCCTGAACTTCAGCAGAACTTCAGCAGAACTTCTCTGAACTTCGGTAGAACTTCGCTGAACTTCAGCAGGAGTTCCCTGAACTTTGACAGGCCTTCCCTGAACTACGGCATGAGTTCCCTGAACTTCAGCAGGACTTCCCTGAACGTCGGTAGAAGTTCTCTGAACTTCTGCAGTAGTTCTCTGAACTCAACAGAACTTCTTTGAATTTCCGCAGAACTTCCCTGAACTTCAGCAAGACTTCCCTGAGCTTCGGCAAGGCTTCCCTGAACATCGGAAGGACTTTCCTGAACTTCGGTAGGACTTTCGGCAGGGCTTCCCTGAACTTCATCAGGACTTCGCTGAAGTTCGGCAGGCCTTCCCTGAACTACGGCAAGACTTCCCTGAGCATTAGTAGAACTACCCTGAACTTGTAATCTTGGAAATGAAGTTGTTATTTCAGTAGTAGAATTATTATAATTATACAATAATATTTTGTTTACGCATATGTTCAAAATGTCAATACTTCCCATTTTTCTAATTTTCAATGCTTGTTTGTATTGGTGTATTTCGAATTTGGGTGTGGTTTGAAAGGGTGTGGATTCAGTATCAAGGGAAAATCATTAACTTTCACCTTAATAATGGAAAACTGGATAAAACTGGATGAATTCTTAAGAATCCAGTTGGCATCACTGCTCTGTACATCATAATACACTATAAAAAGACAATCGTGATAATTATTCCTAAAAATGCTCTGTACATCATAATACACTATAAAAAGATAATCGTGATAATTATTCCTAACAATTACAATGAACAATTCGCACCATTAAAACGAATTCCGCAATGTTCATGATAACACATCAGTCCCTTTGAGATTTTTGCGACATTATTTAAAGTTTCCGCGATTTTCACGTCTGAAAATTCAAATCACCGAAAATCGAGAAATCCGTGAAATTTGCGAAATCTGCGCCTGTTATATAACAGCCCTGATATTCGAATGAGGGGACTTTTCTCATAATTTAAAGATTACTTTTGAAATGTTTCATCGGGGGCACTTTCATACAAAATTTTGCTCAATTTGAGCGTTTATTTCAATGAATCACTATTTTACATTGTTTTCAAACTTTATTTAGGAGATTTTTAGCCGTAGGCTAGTTCATCCCCGTAAATAGTGAGAAGCCTTAGCCTTGCTTGAATATCATGCTACTTCAACATTTCATTATCTAGCTGTTTATACTTTTACTTAAGTAAAAGTATAAACAGCTAGTAAAATAACAAAGTAAACAGCATAGGAAAACAGACAGACTAAAAAGGTACAAATTAAGAAAAAACATCCCTATGGGGTTGTACGCATTGGTGACGTAGGACTACGTGGTCTTATAATAAATCTTATTTGAGCTTGTATTTTGTATAGGAATAGGAATTTTAGCGAGGTTCCCTCTGTTTATACTCTTTTGTATGACGCGCTTGACATAGATGGCCCATAGCGACTAACGAAGAGCTACTGATTCTGATCAATAGCGGTGCGGTTTTTTCCTCCTTCAATGGATGCTCATGTGGGCTGCAGCTCGCTGCTTGCGGGCAGCCTTTCGTTGTGTACTGGAGAACGCCAAAGCTCACCACGCAGTGATTGAATAAAAACCGTTAGGTAAGACTGGATAAAATACAACTTTGAAATCTGTGTTAGGGAAATTGCTTTTCGCAGGCAATCGGTGCCTCCCTTAGTTCAGTCGGTAAAGGCGCAGCTACAAAGCAAGACCATGCTGGAAGTGTCTGGGTTTGATTCCTGGTCCGGTCTAGGATTTTTTCGGGTTGGAATATTTCTCGACTTCCCTGGGCATAGAAGTATGATTGGACTTGCCACACAATAATACCAATGCAAAAATGGTACAGGCATCGAAAGCTCTCAATTAATAACTGTGGAAGTGTATCTAGAACACTAAGTTGAGAGCACGCAATAAGCTAATATGCGATATGCAATAAGCATGAAATTCGAAGAAGAAGAAGAAGAAGAAGAAGGCAATCGGTGATAATTTTAATTATCATAGCAACAGTTGCATATTCGTGCAATTTTCAATAGTGACATTTTGAAAAAATGATAAAATCTTGATTAAACAAATGCGTAGAAATATTTCTGATCGATTGGTGATAAAATTATTAAAATTGGTCTAGGGGCAGCTGAGTTATTAACGTTCCAAATCTTTCATAATTTTGTTACATGTTCCACTTTCGGTTTTCACAAAGTGTACCCCCATATGGAAGTAGTCCTACGTCTAATAAAGAACCAATAACAAAACATAGCTTCACTGTAGGAGGTCTGTGGGAGCCCCCGTTCAGTGGGGATGTCCCGATGGCCAAAATAATCGATGGTGCTAAATCCTGAAACATAGCTTCGCCGCCTTTAAAAAGCGCAGACCGTGGTGGCCACGAAGGTGCTCGAATTGTGTGCATACGCATAACACGTGCTCCGCCGTCGAAGAAATATGGCGTGTCCTATCTGAAGTCTGGAAAAAATCCTCTAGTCTCGCAGGTTCGCAACGTCCGTCCACTTTCCGATGTCGCCTTTGATCTTTCGAATGAACGGAAGTGTGGCACGGGACCATTCCGTTTCCTACGCTGTCCGCACTGGGCAACCCGCATAAACGCGAACCATAACTTGACCTTACCGATAATAATTATAAATTGTTTATAATCACTCCTAAACTTTAACTGAAATGGTTATGGAACTTTACATGAACGTTTGTGTGATAAAGTTTTAACCTTATGTATTATTGTTTTTTGAAAGCGGACCTCACAAATAATGGGTTGTTAAGAACCATTACCATTCAAAATTCTTGTTTTCTCAATACATTTTCGAAAAGAGAACTATATTTGAACGTTTTTACTTATGGTTTGAGAACATTAATGGTTATGGTTATTATAGTCAGTAAGGTCCATTAATGGTTTTGTATTATCGCTCAACTTTACGTGGAATATATCGTGAATTGGTAATCAGTAATTTACAGGCAACTAATTCGCGATATATTCCACATAAAGTTGATCGATGTTACAAAACTATTTATGGACCTTACTGACTACCATAACCATAACCATTAATGTTCTCAAACCATAAGTTAAAAGGTTCTAATATAGTCCTCCTCCCGAAAATATATGGAGAAAACAAGAATTTTGAATGGTAATGGTTCTTAACAACTCATTATTTGTTAGGTCCGCTTCCAAAAAACCATAATACATAAGGTTAAAACTTTATCATTAAACGTTCTTGTAAAGTTCCATAACCATTTCAGTTGAAGTTTAGCAGGGATTATAAACAATTTTTAACCATTTTCGGTAAGGTCAATTTATGGTTCGCGTTTATGCGGGAACGGTGGGGACGGAAGATTGTGCGGATGAGGTTGATCCTGCTGTGTCAGCTGGCCTTGATCCCTTAAAAATGTTGGTCAAAACTCAGCGACCGGTCAACAGTTTCACAGTTTTCTTCAGTGGGATGTCTTGATCACTGATCTTTATGGATGGTCCGCAGACCCGATGTCGGTACTGGTAAACGTGACTAGCGCTCTTTCCAGCAGATAGCTGAAAGCCTTTCGAAGCGGCCCATCGGCCCAATTCCAAAATAACCTGTTAGATTTTAACACGGTTCGATTTTGGCAACATTAAATATTCGGCTTCGTTGCCAAAATCGAACGGGTACTGTACATTGATAAAAGCAACAACGATTAAGCGATAATCGCACTTTGATCCATTCCACAGGAAAGCAAACAAATCGACTGCAGCAACGGAAACGGTCAACGGTCGGACAAGACGTCGATCGTTTTTACCCTCAAAAACCAAGTGGGTGGTTTGGCACGTGCCCTACAGGTCTTCCAGGAGCTGGGAATTAACGTACTTCACGTGGAACTGAACAAATCCAGCGAACCATGCGAGCAAGCCGATGTCCTAGTGGACATCGAATGCGACGCCAGCCGAATGGAGCAAGTAATGCGATTGTTGAAACGTGAAGTTCACAACGTTAGCTTTGCCGCACCCATTACCAGCGATGGACCACCACCAACTCCACTGTCGGCTTGCGGGAGTTTTGGTAACACTTGTTACTGAGCTTTCAATCGTTCCACGAGTCACTCATTCAAACTTCCAACAGATTTTGGCGAAATGCACTGGTTTCCAAGAAAAATTTCCGATCTGGACCGTGCCCAGAACGTGCTGATGTACGGAGATGCCCTGGATGCGGACCATCCCGGATTCAAGGATCCGGTTTATCGCAAACGGCGAGAGCAGTTTGCAGCTATTGCCAATTCGTACAAGCAGTAAGTTTCACCCTGACATGTTGCAAAGATCCAATTAAACTTACAACCTATTTTCTATTTTCTCAGTGGCAATCCAATCCCGAGAGTTCAGTATACACCGGAAGAGATCAAAACATGGTAAATTGAATTTCGACTCGAATGTATGGGAAGAAGTTGCTCCTTCTGCTAAGAAATATCGGTCACCATCAAGGCAGGATGGATCGAATTGAATGAGCGCAATTTATCCTTTCGTTAACGAGAATATTCAAAACAACTTAATTCAATTTATTGGTTGCGTCCTCTCTCTTTCTCTTGACAGGGGCACTGTATTTCGTGAGCTGCAGAAACTCTACATCAAGCATGCAGTGCCGGAGTACTTGGAAAATTGGCCGGAGCTGGTAAAGTACTGCGGTTACCGGGAAGACAATCTCCCCCAGCTGCAGGATATCAACGTGTTTCTCAAGAGGAAAACCGGCTTCCAGATTCGCCCCGTCGCAGGGTACCTTTCGCCAAGGGACTTTCTCTCCGGATTGGCCTTCCGTGTTTTCCACTGTACCCAGTATATTCGACACTCGTCAGATCCGTTCTACACTCCGGAACCGTAAATTAAAATTTCAAATTATAACTCATCGGTGGTTACAATTTGAAATTTTGTATTTCCAGCGACTGTTGCCACGAGCTGTTGGGACACATGCCGCTGCTGGCGAATCAGAGTTTTGCGCAATTTTCGCAGGAGATTGGGCTGGCTTCGCTTGGCGCTACGGATGATGATATCAATAAGTTGGCGACTGTAGGATTCCGTTCGTGTGCGTTCCAACTTGAATGAGTAATTAGTGTATGAATAATTTCAGCTATATTTCTTCACGGTGGAATTCGGCCTCTGCCGTCAGCAGGATGGCAGTTTCAAGGTATTCGGAGCAGGATTGCTGTCCTCGGTTGCAGAGCTGCAGCATGCCATTACCACCACGGTAAAGATTAAGCGATTCGATCCGGATGTTACCTGCATGGAAGAGTGCATCATTACGGCTTATCAGAATGCGTACTTCTATACGGATTCCTTTGAGGAAGCGAAGGAAAAGATGAGGTTTGTATGTAGATGCCGGAGAAGTGTTCGTCGAGACTTTAACCTCTTTGGCAGGTCTGCCCAACCTTTCTATACTTGCTTTTTTAAAATGGCTGTATCTTCGTTCGATGAACATGTTTCAAGCTGCATTTTTATTTATTTCTCGTTCATTCTGGGCCAAAATTCATAATGATGGATATAATTGAACTAGAATGATATAATTGCTGCGAGAGATCATGTCCAGCCCGCGGGACGCACCTTGGGCAACGCTGCTCTATAGGCTTCAGGGACGACCATAACTGAAGAAATCCACATGCAAGAAAAATGATCTGAATGATGAATTGTAAATCAAAACCTTAACGATTTCCCCACTGACATTTTCAGCATTATCTATAAGCCATCTTTTCCAGCGTTGTGCTGTAAAGTAGCTGAAAAAACTGCAAATACAGCTACAAGCAGAAGCTAGCAAAATAGCAGAAGCTGTAATAACAGCAGTCAATAAACGCTAATGTCACTTCAATACACATACTAATCAACTTCCAACTTGTAGCTGCAACACAAAGCTAACAAAGTGAATATGTTACTCATTTGATGGCTTCTACACAACCAACCACTCTTGATGAATAACATAAACATCAAAAGTGCTACATATTGGTGCTACGGAAGGGGGAAGTAAAGTCGTTGGTCCCGGTCCATGTATGGAATGGGTGTGATATCCTACGCAGGTGTGGAAGCTGCCTTCCTGCACTTTCGATTGCCGTCAATGGATGGCAATCGATGTCCGTCGGTGATTGGTACTAGATTTTTTTTTCTTTATCGCCGTGATTTTTTGACATTAACGTGACGTATAACTGGCTTTGATTACCCAACGAATGCGACAGACAACATTCTAAAAACTTAATGTAAAGTTAAGATTACATCGGGGCTGTGGTGAGGACTGTGGTGTGCGAACAAGGTAGAGCTTCACCGTAGAAGACAGTGCTCCGTCCGACGGAAGAAAAAATAGAAAGGTGAGGAAAACACGAACAGTGCAGCCACCGACGGGGGGCTAGATTTGATAATACAAGTGGGCGTCCTTCAGAAAGGCGATCAGCGCAGACAACGCCGATTGGCGAAACCAAGCAGATTCTTGACGTTCTCGGGTAGTCCGTGTTGTTCGCGTAGCTCCTGGAACTCCGGGCAGACACACAGCACGTGTTCCACCGAGGCGAGGATGCTGCAAATTGAACAAACCTTGCGGAAAGGTGATCCACCGAAATTACAGGAAATCCTCGCATGGCCGGTCCGGAGTCTTGAGATGATCTGCTGGTCCTTGGCTGTTCAGCCAGGGGCGTACGGTTTTCTTGATCTTCCTCAGGAAAGTGGTCCGCGACTGGAACCATTTCTGCTGCCAGGCTTCCATAATAGTATTCGCAATCCAACGCCTGACGTCTAGGAGGGGTACGTTCCTGGTGTAGAGGGGACGGGATGCACCAGATCCCACCAGTCTGTCCGCAGCCTCGTTTCCGGGTATCCACGTAAAGACGGTTTAAGGTGGGGCGTACCGTGTAATGGCTTGTGTCCAGGGGTGGCTCGGGGCTTCGGCTTCCAGCGCTTGGATGACGCTGTGTGAGTCAGTTAACACGAGGATCGGTTGATCTGCCGGAGTGATGGCTGCGTCTAGAATAGCTGCGGCTTCAGCGGAAAAGACGGAACACTCCTACGGTAGACTTTGACTCGTTGCAGTGTTCGGTCCTGCCACTCCGAGTCCAACTCCAGCCCGCAACCACGATCCGTCCGTAAAGCGATGAACGAGCCCCGGATAAACCGACCCGAGAAGCTCTGCAACAGAACGTCTCAAAGCTACAGAGTTATCTTCGGCTTGGAATCCACTCTTAATCCGCTTATCTATTTTGACGACGCTTGATCGCCAACTCTTTTCTCCATGCCAGTGGACCCTGGCCACCGGGGGAGGTCACGGTTGGATGCAGTGCGGAGGCCTCTGTTCCCCTCGTTGAGGAGAAAGACCCTTTCGTTCCCGAATGTCTTAGCAGCGAGGGCAGCGGCTTTCGTAGTCTGCGGGCCTGGAAGGGAGAAGGCCGGATACGATACGTACGTAGGTATTGTTTATCGGAACATGGATGTGGTTGAGCTTCTCGGTGACAAAGCAGGTAATTTCGAGGCCGTAGAAAAGTAGACTGTCGATAACAGCCCGAGCCCGACACGAAGGCAGATCTCACGGTTGCTGGAGCGATGCGGGCGGGAGATTGTCCTGACTATATTGATGCGGCTACGACAGTTTTCTTTCACCATCCTGAAGTGCTGGTTGAAGCTTAGGGTGCGATCCAGTACTACCCCCAGAACACACAACGTTTTCTTGAGCGGAATCGGACGATCTTGGATGGTGATCGGTGGTCCTCGAATCAGATGGCCCGAGTGAAAGATATGGCACCGTACATTCTTCGGCGCGGAAAGCTGGAAACCAACCGAAAGCGCCCACCTGCTGACGGCGGAGACTGCTGCTTGAGCTATGTTCCTGGTCCACTTAGTTGTTCGTCCCGTTACGACGATGAGTATGTCGTCGGCATAAACGATTACGTGCACGTTCTTGGGCAGTTGGCTGAATACCACCAGGAATAGCGTTACCGCTATGGCAGATCCCTGGGGCCAGTTTCCTCGGGGAACGGATCCGTGCGAGTGTTCCCGACAGTCACCTGGAAGGTACGATCAAAGAGGAAATTCCGTACAAAATGTGTGATGCTGATGACACCAGGTGTCCATGTCCTGTTGAACGCCTTTGAAATATCAAGGGAAATTAGCTCCGCATGGTGACCGTTGTCCTGGGCTTCCTTAAGTACATGCCCGAGGGCTGCAAAGTAAGTGGAGGAGCCGTGTCCTTGCCAGAACGCATGCTGCCGTTCGTCAAGGAGGCCGTTTGACTCCAGGTACTGCCTAAGACGACGATTTACCATTCTTTCCATCACTCTTGTCAGCAGCAAGTGAGCGCAATCGGCTTAAAGGAGGAGGCTTCTTCACTTTCCGTGTTGTTCTTCGAAATGGGCACTACCAAGCTTTGTTTCCAGAGGTCCGGATACGAGTCAGTGAGCCATAGATCGTTGAAGAAGGCGAGTAGCCTCGTTTTTCCGTCGAGGGAGAGGTTTTTTAACACCGGGGATCCAATCTCGTCCGGCCCGGCAGATTTACCACTACTGCTGACGAGGGCAAACTGAAGCTCCCGGAAGGTAAGAGCTTCGTCCCGTCCCAACAATCATAAGTAGCCAGTTTTGCTTGTACAGTATAGTACAGTAAAGGTTGCCACATATCGTATAACATTTGAATACAGCTTTGAGGCTGTATAAATTAAATTATTAAATCTTTTATATTGGGAAAAATCTCTCGCAACACGAGAAAAGGGCCTATCATTGTTGATCGATTCTCTTTATCGATTTTCTCTATCGCGAATAACCCGACTGCAAATGAATTTCCCATTCTGTGTGTTGTTTCAGGCGCAAGCTAACATCATCTTCTGTCGAACTGTACTGCGAGCTTACCGAGAAATTCGTTTATGTTGCCGTGGTAAACCAAAGAGAAAGTAGATGAAGAGAATCGATCAATGAGGATAGGACCTTTTCAAATGTAACGCGAGAAATGATAGTTGGGCTTACAACATCGATAGGGATGACAATTTTTTGCTACATGGCTCATGCGTATGAAATGGAACTGTGTACCTGTATTCAACAAAGTGTTCTGTTGTAGTTCATCCATAGTTGGTAATGGAGAGCTTTCGAATTCGTATTTATTTACTGGGATTAGTTTCCCTCACCCCTCCGAATTGTATAGGTACTTTTCGCAATTTTGTTTTTTTATTTTCTAGCTTCTTATTTTTATTAACTTTTCAGATGTACCTCAAAAGTTTTTTAGATCTCAGTTTATTAAACTCTAAACATTACAGTTTGAAAAATTTATAAATTTATCCTGATCTTAGTGCTACTGTGTTACCTTTTTTTTTTTCCTTTGGTTTGTTTTTTCCGTCGATCTTGTTTTCCGTGCTGAGCACCAATGCTACCGACGTTCCAGGAAGGCAGCTCCCACACCTGGACCCTACCTATCGACCCATCAACTCATGAACCGGGGACCAACGGCTTTACTTCCCATCCGAAGGAAGGCGTGATCAGAGATGTTATGCGGCGCCGACTGGGATTGAACCCAGGCCTGCTGGGGTGAGAGGTAATCACGCTTATCACTACACCACCGGCGCCGTTCCCTGTGTTACCTGACCTCCGACTTCTCGACTTCGACTTCTCGACTTCGACTTCTCGACTTCGACTTCTTGACTTCGACTTCTCGACTTCGACTTCTCGACTTCGACTTCTCGACTTCAACTTCTCAATTCCGATTTCTCGACTCTGACTTCTCAACTCCGACTTCTCGATTCCGATGTCTCGATTCTGACTTCTCAACTCCGATTTCTCGACTCCAACTTCTCGACTCCGACTTCTCGACTCCGACTTCTCGACACCGACTTCTCGACACCGACTTCTCGACTCCGACTTCTTGACTCCGACTTCTCGAATCCGACTTCTCGACTCCGAGAACTATTGTTTTAGTACTCTTGTGACCAACGTAGTAACCGGAGAAACCGTCAACAATGCTGATGATGGTACAGCATGCAACACTAACCTAAGGCGTTTCTCTCTTAGATGAATACGTTAGTCATGACGAGAGAAACAAAACAATATTTGGGTAAAGAAGAATTGCATTATAACACACCATCGCCTGGAAATTATTTCGGCAACGTGGTGCCTTAGGTAGTGATGAAAACGTCGCTAGAACTATTCCACAGCCGCAGACAATAAATGAGCAAGTCAAACGCGCACTCTTTTGCCTGTGGATTTGTGGACATAACTCAAATCCTCTAATAAAATAATGACAAATAATACCAATATCCTAAGAAACAAATGCAGCATGTAAATTATAACTATTTTGAAATTGTTGGGCCATTTAGCGGAATGGGATCTGAAAATATAAATCTTTTTTTTTTTAATATGTTCAATGTAGTCGCTGTGGAAAATCTTTAGCCTTTGATGAAATGCAAAGTTCTTCCATTTTGAATACCGTTGAAATCTGGAAATGGTGGAGTTCAAGGAAGGAAATGACAAGGATATTCGCTATTCCCTCTTTTTTAACAACGCAATTATGATCATTAATATTTTTTGTTGTAAAGCTATAATTGTGGTTGCAAACTAAAATCTACTTAATATGACTAAAGTCTGGAAAAACTACTTGTGCTCTTTCTGTTGCCCTTATACATCTAACTACGTAACTACTAAAAGCTCATAACTATCATCGAATTCTCCATATAATTCACCTAAAGTTGTCCTCACTAGGCGTCGAGGTCTATTTCGTAAATGAAAAGAAGTTTCCCTTCTGGTCTACTAGGGGTTGTGTGTTGTCCGTTGTCCAGTCTAAAATGTTTAGTCTGTGTAATATCTGGATGAAGGTGGTGCCAATTGTCATTTTACATCATTACTCATGAAATCCTTTTCTGAAATACCTAATATGTTTGTGATTTTGCCATCTCCGACCACTGTGCTACCATAGAGGCAACTCTAAGACCAGAAGGTCCCGAAGAAACGTGCTCAACTTTTTGGCTCAGCTCTGGCACTCTCTTCGGGCCCAAGTTAATCAATGCACCCCTCGAAACATAGGAAAATCCACGAACCCCTCATTTTATCTGTCAAACTTTCCTAGCGAATCAAAACAAACACAGTGTAGTACTAGAATTTCGACTAGAATGGGGTACGTTAATCGATCTGCATGGGCCCGATAGGCTAGTCAAGTAGTGAGCCAATTTAAAATCGTTAGTTTTCACCGGTTGGTGCTACTGTGTACAAGATCTGGGAGTAATTCTAGATTTCCAATTAACGTACAAGTAGCACATCTAGTATGTTGTCGACAATACGTCAAGGCTCTGTTCTATGAATGGTACATCCTCCCATGCAGTCTAAAATCATTGTACACTTCCATCGATATAATTTGCTACAGCATGATTGTGACTAGAATAGGTTGCACACTAGTAATCACATTTGTTCAGTGACATGTGTCACTGCTGCTATGTCCTTTCTTGAATACATACTGTTCGGATTCAATAATAAGCTATGGTGCTGTGAGAGCTGAGTCCATTCAACTTTCAACTATTTAGGAGGGATCTATTTCGTCTGCTCAGTAATGAAAGTTGATGCCAGCTGTTCGATCTAGAGCTTTGCTCATCCAGGACAGCATACAGGGTATAATAGATTGCCCCGAAATCATGGAGCAAATAAATATATGCGTCTAACCCCAATCATTGTGTATCAATGTTATACTGTTCAAGTAACAATTCTGATGTTATCATAGTCTTGTAGACCATGATTCAGACTTAAAGAACTTCAATCTCTTAATTTTGTCGAATTTCTTAACGGAATCCCTTAATGAAGAGATTTTGAGTGTGTTGATCAGTGTTGGGAAAATATAAAAAAAAAATAATCTCACCAATTCTCAAGATCACGCTTGATTTTCGTAGACAAAAATCAACAAGCAAAAAATTTTGCAAGCTGTGGTATCGCAGCTCAGAATATCAAGCTAACAAAACTCACCAGCTGAAAATCTCAACAAACTGTGGTGAGATTAAATTTCATGCTTTTTGTTTTACACCCGAACGCAGTTTCGGTTGGCAGCAGTCACTTCGTGTCTGCCATTGGTGAAGATAAAAAAATAGATAGTAAACTATACTTTCTCTTTCTAAGAAAACGATGTGCAACGGAATCATTTTCGTGTTGAGTCAACTCTCAGCTTGATTTTTGTACGTTGTGAATAGTCTCGCAGTATCCAAGGAGCTTGTAAAATCAATATCAAGCATGATATTTTGTTCCAATATCACGCGTGATATTGAGAACGTATAAGAGCGGAAAATATCAATTGATTGATGATTTTGCCAACACTGGTGTACTCAACACCATGCATGGAAAATCATTTGCATTCATTTCGTGCATTCATTTACATTCATTTGCCTCTAACTTTTTTCTTCAACAGCATTCCGCAAAATGATGTATAGAGCTTTTGTAGGTTTTGTTATTAACTACAACTTTTGTTAACAAGTCAAATCCGTATCTCTTATGCATGACGAAGCAGAGCAAACAGAAGCCACCACTGTTTTTCAGTGAATGTATTTTACATTCACTGAAAAACAGTAACAAGTTCTGCCCGCTCTAGTTTGTGATGCATAAGAGATACGGATTTGAGTTGTGAGCAAAATATGTAGCTTATAATAAAACCTACAAAAGCTCTATACATCATTTTGTGGAATGCTGTTGATGAAAAATTTAGAGGCAAATGAATGTAAATGAATGTATGAAATGAATGCAAATGATTTTCCATGATTGCTCAACACCACTTGGCACTGATGAAGTCTGCAAGTAGTAGACGAAATACGCGTATCTATTAAAAGATAAGCAAAAAAACGGAATTAGAAGAAAATAATCAACACACTCAAAAGCTCTTCTTAAAGAACGTTCTAAAACCTCCATAACACGTGCAATGTTACTTGCGAGGGTTGTCATTATATTGTACTATAACTTCTACATTAGTGTGCTTCATTTTGAGAAAAGTATTTGCAATATAATAGGCCACCTTCCAGTTTGAATTATAACTCCAAAATATGAGTCTGTGCAAAAAATGGTTAAGATTGATGAAGGCTTAAAGGCCCTGCAAATGGTATGAAGTTTATATGGGAATTACTATGGAAGCAATTGCAATGTCACAAATAACGCTCTAACTTTGGTTTTAGTTGTCCAAAGGTTGTAAAAATCCAATGTGTGATTGCTACGATAATGACGAACAAGCAATATTCGTCATTTTGGTAGCAATTCAAAATTGGGTAAATTGATATTTTAATTTATGCTTGACAACAACACATCACAGGAAAAAATAAATTTAAATATTTCCTCCAAGAGGATGCACTTCAATCATGTTGAAAATCTCATGTAATTTTTATGACCCCACAAATAAACAAATGCAGTAAAAGCAGCGTAAAGTCAGTTCATGCACTGTATTATTGATAATTTTGTCCTTTTTGGCAAGTAATATTACACCATATTTTCGACACGATTGAAGTGCATCCACTTTGATGTGATATTAAAATTATTTTTTTGCTGTGTAGTTTAATCCATGACATGTTTGTTCTATAAAATAAAAAAAAAATTGTCAACTTTAGCCATAGATAGAGCAGTATTTGTGAAATTCACAAATCTCTTATATGTATTCGTAATAATCTCCATGTACATACATACAATCATTTGCACGACCTCTAAGACCTCATCAACCTTAAACATTTCGCACTGGCTCATATGTTGGGGTTATGAATCAAAGTGGAGAGTGACAACTAACCGATGATACCAACCTTCCATTGTAGGGCATTTGCTGAGAACATTCAACGACCTTTCGGAGTCCGCTACAACCCGTACACGCAGACAGTTGACGTTCTGAGTAATGCCAAGAAGATCACCGCTCTGGTCAGCGAACTTCGCGGGGACCTGAGCATCGTTTCGGCAGCCTTGAAAAAGGTCTCAGCACTGGATGACAATTTGGACGTTGAATCGATCGAAAGACTACTGTCCAGTAGTCTTCATGTTAGTGGAATTATTTATTTTGCTTCTTTTTTTATTTAATGGAACGACATTTTTTTATTTCAGGTGTCCGATAAAAGTCCCAACTCAGAAAGCTCCGATTCCTCCGATAAAGCAACTACTCCGAATCAATAAAGATGCATATGTGTATATCAACATGTCCAGTACACAGCAAAAATGAAAATTTGTTCGTAAAAACTGTATACATCTTACAACGTAATATTACACAACCGATGGGATGACCTAGGTGCTGCAGTTTCGATGTTACATTCCACGACTTTTTTGTTTTTGCTGTGTACAATACTACAACCAAAGATGATCTTTACTCGCTCTCTCTCTTAATGTGAAGGAATAAATTCCAGTCATGAATCAAGATCAAATTATTGAACCAAAACATATGTATTAAAGAACGTTCTAGATGTGGCATAAGTTGGGATGGGTTTTTTTTTAGGATGACGACCAATTTCTTTCCATTTTTATACAGTATCCGCTAATCCGGCTTTCGTTCCGGCTCTAGTATATTCAATTAGAGGATGTTCCTAAATCTACAGTCAAACAGCGCGTAATGTTGTGAATAACCTCAAGGACAGCTGTCCAGCAGTGTTCCCAATTTAATTTACAACAATCCAATGTCTACGAGATTGTGCCGAAGGTGTGCTGAATCTCATTTCGGCACAATGTGCTGAGTGACTTACCCCTTGGATACTACAAACATTTCCAACTCATTAAATACGCTTCGGAATGCTTGCGTTCTTGAAATGGGCTTTTGGAGTTGCGTTAGAGCTGTCACCTTCTGACTCCCGGATTTAAGCTTCTTGCAATTATTTATATAAAAGTTGGTTGCAGGAGGATTTTATTCATAATGCCACTACCAGTCAGTGGGAGTTAGATTGTCAATACACGCACACACACACACACACACACTTACCCTTACAGGTTACCAACAAATTTAGACATTTCTGAAGTTTAAGAACTTTTTAAAGCTCCTGTAAATTTCCTGAAACTAATGGAACTGAAATAAAGCTCTGAAAGCAACCCTTAAGTTCAGGGGAAGTTGGAAAAAATCTGACGGGAGTACACGGAAGATTTTCAAAAAGATTAAAGTTTATCACAATTGTTTCCCCTGACAGTTAAGCGTGGGTAGGCAATACACATTTATATTATTAAAAATTATCGGTATAAGTCGGGATGATTTCTCAAAAACCGGTATTCTGAGACACCTTATCTGTATATCGCTATCAAATTTAAAAATCTGTATAAATACCGATAAATCGGTATATCTGGCAACGCTGATTGGCCATCAAAAGCAACAACAAACGAACCGAGGAATGTTAATCCAAACGAGTTATTAACAAAAGAGAAAATAGACGAAGAGAATCGATCATCACTGTCGAATTATGCAAAGTTTTATGCAAATCGAAAAAGGTCGAGTTTTTCGAATCGTCATTTGGGCATTGAACTACTCAATTGTATGGTAGGGTAGAGAACTACTTCGGCCCAAGCGCCCATTTTGGGCCTATCGAGCAGAAAACTTTAAATAAATCCATGATTTCAGAGTTAACAAGTCAATTATGCGTTTGGTACGATACTTTAGTTAATAAGCTACGGAACGAAGTCAATGAGAACGCGTGATATGAAGGTTTGCACCCATTAATCCCAAACACAAAAGAAGCGCTCCGACCGAATCAATTTTTATCTTCATCCGATAGTCCGAAGTGAATTCATTTGCGTTTCAATGCGTTAGGCCGAGTTAAGAATCCGTAGGCCGAGTTTGGCGTCAAGAAGCAGTGTTAGACTTTTGACAATATCTCATCGATTGGTTTCTCTTTATTGAATTTTACGGTACTTACGGAAAGGTAAATAAATTTGGAAGCCATCAGTAATAAAAACATTCCGTTTTTACCACCACTGCGCTAGATTAAGAAAGACTAAGTGCGGATTGTGCTTAATAGGCTGAAAATGGGATAGTAAACATTCAAAGTGTTTTTATGTTACTTCTTGTTACTACTTGTGATAATACGCGAAGTTAACGATTTTCAGAGTTGGTTGGAAATGCTAACATGAAGCTTTAGTGTGATGATTTATTAGCTAGAGAATGATCTTTAGAAGAGGGTAGGTGGATAGTTCCGTTAGAGTACGGCAGTATGAAAATTGAATAGAAGTTGAAAATGAGCGAAGGGCCATTAATGCGACAGTTTTTCAAGATAGACGCACATTTTTGCCTAACCCGTACGATGTACGCAGGGACTTGAAGTATGTCTCCAAGTCCACAGGCAAAAATGTGCGTCCCTCTTGTTAGCATTTCCAACCAACTCTGGGATAGTTAACCCTATATGACGGTCCAATTTATGTGCATTATACTGCCGCTCATGGCAAGTCGGTCCCATAACACAAATCAGAATGCCGAGAAATCGCGTTTTAAGTTTGCTTCGCACCATTGCATCTTATGTAATAAGATTACTAATAAGACAACCCGTTATTCTGTTTTTCCAGAAATTTACACTACTTTTTCAAACTGTGTATGTTCAAGACTTCGGAGAGCAGTTTTCGTTCAAGAAAAGCGGAATACAGTGAACACATTTTAATTTTTTTTAATTTGCACCGAAAAACCGCTCTTTCCGACTTGAAACATATTTTCAACTTAGTACCATCAACTCAATTCTCTGAACACACTAAGATTATTTTACAGATTTCTTTAAAATTTTACCGAAATCTCAACAGCTGAACGTTCGGTAAAATTTTTTACAGTTTTCCTGTAATTATTTACAGATATCTGTGAAAAATTCACAGATATTTGTGAAAAATTACAGGAAATCTGCGAAACTGTTTACCGAACGTTCAGCTGTTGAGATTTCGGTAAAATTTTACAGATTTCTTTAAAAATTTCTAAGTGTGAACACCATGTGCTACTTCTATGGAGTTGCAATAAAATTCGCAACTTCCCAGAACCGTCCCACAGCGCAACATTCCGTAGCACGTTGCATCGTTTCGGCCCATACAAGCGTTGCGACGCTGGTCGTCGACGTCCGTCGACACATCTGGCAATGTAGGTATCAGCCAGCAAGCAGCACTGCAAGTCAAGTTCCTCAATCTACTGCTGCTGCTGGATGAAACACACACAGCTTCACCGTCGTCGTCGCCGTCAATCGGTCGTCGGCATCCGTCCGTCCGTCGCGAACAGTAGAAGGAAGGAAGCAAAAATAAAACACAACATTGGCGACAAAGAACAAAACTTGCATGACGACGCACTGACGACAACGACGACGGCGGCGGCGGCGACGACCGGTGGCACCACGACGACCATCTACCAAACACAGCATCGAAGCAAGAGCAAAGGCGACGACGACGACGACGACGAAGACGGCGATGATGATGGTATGGTTGGTGACCGTACGCTCTTGAAGAAGCTATGATTGGGGAAGAATAAGCGCAGTAGCAGCAGGCGGTGGCGGCGACGTCGACGACTATTTGACGTTTTACTTCGTCTCAGCACAGGCTAGTTTTTTTTCTTCTCACATTGACTTTGGTTAGTAGTATGTGCTCTTCGGACATCGAGTGATGTCAACAGGTGTTTTGGCGTCGTTCTGGAATTTTGCAAGTTTTGGCGTGTTTTTCGGTGTAATTTATCGATTAGTGTCGTGATTTTGATTGAATTCGTAGATTTTTAGCGCTGAGTGGTGACAAGAAGGTGAATTCGACTAGCTGTTATTTGGGGAACATCAAGTTTATGCCGGTAAGTCACTGCAAATGCGTTTTTCCTACATATATTTTCCTTCTACATAAATAAAGCAATGCTACGTAAACGTTCCGTCAATGCGAAATTCAAAACTGAATTCTGCTCTGCAGGATTAGCATTAGAATTTTGTTATTTCAAGTTAATTCTTATTGATAACATAAATGGCAAACCAATATTATTAGCTATGCTACAGGAAGGAATTATGTTATAACAAAGTGCTTGATGCTTCATTTTCCAATACGATTTGCAACATCTTTCATCACGGATGCAACGCAACATAAGGGCCTTATTGCATACAATGTTGTATACTACATTGTGTGATAAAACTAGCGAGACATCTTTGATTGGAAACTTGAACCAGTTACAACGGTCCCTGTCTCATGTGTCCGATGAGGCAGGCATGAGAGTATAGGAATTTGACTGTTATTTGAAAAATTCTATGGTTTAGTACATTTACATAATTATTCAGAACAAATGAACGATAATATCTAATCGTTTGATTGCTTGGGTACTGCATAGTCGAAACCTTCTTTTGATCAAATTCGTCAGCATTGTATCATCAAAATGGCATACATTTATCTCTGTACCACGATATTCTCACAAAAAATAATGTAGTAGGGCTTACTAAGCACGACCCGCCCTTTGCCTCTATTTTTCGAACGGATTTTTTTTTCACAAAATAGAATGCTCGCACTGCAGATACCTTCCAAATTTAGTTAACTGTCCGTACGTATCGAAAGATTTGATAAAGAGTAACACATTGTTGAGATATTGCTAAAAAATCTAACACTGATTCTTGACCCCAAATTCGGCTTACGGTTTCTAAACTCGGCCTAACCCATTGGAACGTCATTGAAACGCAATTGAATTCACTTCGACCTATCGGATGAAGGTAAAAATTGATTCGGTCAGAGAGTCTCTTTTGTTTGACATAATTGACTTGTCAACGCCGAAATCATGGTTTTATTTGATGTTTTTTTTCTGCTCAATAGGCCCAAAACGGCCGGTTAGGCCGAAGTAGTTCTCTACCCTACTTGAGCCTCAAATGTTGAAACTTGTTTTTGAAATTTGAAGAGTTATACATGAACATCGATCTGTCAAAGTATTTATAATAGTTTCTAAATGACCCTGCAAGCGAGGGGCTAGTCAAAGTACTTCAGGAAATTCTCATTGTTCTTCACCCTATACAATTACGGTCTTTAGGGGTATTGAGGTAATTGCATATTCGTAATGTGCATTTCAAATGGGACCGGAATCCAAAATTTCATCAATTTTAGTACACTGGAACCACTGGAAAAAATCACCATCTTAGCGACCCCTCGGTGAGGCTTTGTTTGGGGGCGAGCTGTCATTTTGTTAGTTTACGGTCAAACAATGAAGTTATAACTTTGCATAAGTTTTAGTTTAAATGCAACAGGCTCAAACATTAAAAAAAACGTTTTGTTGACTATCAAATTGTCAAAATCTGGAAGAAATTCTGGCCAAAATCAGCAAAAAATAAATTTTAATATTACATCCAAGAGGATGCACTTCAATCATGTCGAAAATCTCAGTAATTTTTATGGCCACAAAATAAACAAATGCCGTAAATGCAACGTAATGTCAGTTCATGCACTGTATTAATGATTATTTTGTTCTTTTTGGCATGTAATATTACACCATATTTTAGACATGATTGAAGTGCATCCGCTTCGATGTAATATCAAAATTATTTTTTTTGCTGTGCGGTGGTAGACTAAAACAGGTGTTACTGTTTATACTTATGATGATGATGATGATGATGATACTGGTCTACCACTCATTGTAGCACGGAAACTAGTCCGATAGCTGTGGATACTCCTCACTGTTGAACTTGATCAAGCTTTGTTTTTTGTTGGGGAGGGGAGTAAAACCACTGCGTCCATTTTTTGAACTTTTGTGGTACCCCTATTTGCTGTTTGTATCATGCAAACCGACCACTATTTAACAACTGGACGGCTAATTGCCTGGATACATCTTTTCCCAGTCCGGTATAATATGGTTTATAAAACCAACTACCTTTCCAGGATTTGCAGACCAAATTTCACTAGGTTCACTTCCAAGAAATTTAGATCTACACTTGTGTAATGCATCACAACTGCAGAGCAGATGTTCCGACGTTTCACGTTCCAAATTGCAGAAACGACAGATATCACTCTGAACCCAACCAATGTTCTTCATGTGATATCTACTAGGACAGTGTATATACTAAGAGCTCTTTTATTGAGCTCTGAGAGCTTTTTGGTGTATGTTATATTAGGAGTTATAAATCTTTTCGACTGGTTGCAGTTTGTGACAGTCATCCAATTGGCCATCAACCTTTGCTCTTCCCAGCATTTGAGTTCCATTTCCACAGTATGGTTCTGGGCCAAAAAACTGTGAATTGGAACCTAACTTTGCTAGGTCGTCTGCCCTTTCATTACCTTCAATGCCACAGTGTCCTGTTACCCATTATAAGTTTACTGAGTTCCGTTGGCACAGTTGCCTAACCGAGAGAATACATTCCCAGACGATCTTTGATGTACAATGTACATCTGTAAGCACTCAGTGCTTTTAGCGCTGCTTGACTCAGAAAAAATACAAATATTTGCACATCTGTATTTCCTCCTCAGACAAACATGTGCACATTCAAGTATGGCTACAATTTCCGCTTGAAACACTGTTGGAAAATGTCCCATCGCAACTGAAATATTTGACCCGGAGCCAAAATTTCCTGCACCTGTTCGTATTCCAATTTTTGAGCCATCTGTCAAAAATATGGTTGAGCCTTGACGAACGTTAGGACCACCAGTTTTCCAATCCAAACGTGCCGTTTCACATACGTTGAAGGGAATTTCATAGTTGTCCTCTGGTTTCATCCAGTCTCTATTCATACTCATCATCCTCTTTGGAAGTATTGTAAGATGCTTAGATGACCAACAAGATCACCTGGCATGACTTTTTTTTTATCTTTTGAGCCTTGGAGCACTTCTTTCCGGTTCTAGTTGCACATGTTCATGCAAGGGCAGCAGATTGAGGATTGCTTCTAATGCTTATGATGCACCCGTTATTGCAATGCATGCTAGACGTTGAAGTTTTGCTAGTTTCCTCTGTACAATAGCCTCTTTTGATTTTGGCCACCACACTAACGAAGCATACGCTACTTTCGGACGGATTTTTGATGTGTAAATCCACATTATCATTTTTGGTTTCAACCACCACTTTCTTCCAATATTTTTGTAGCATGCCCACAGGGCACTGATTGCTTTGTTAATCGTAGAACCAACCTGAGCATTCCAATTCACCTTGGCGTCCAAAATAACGCCAAAAACGAATGGATGGATTGATAGGTCAGTCACCTATTCATTTCCTTGGGGAAGTTAAGAATCTCCTTCCAACCACTTGATCAGCCAATTGGTCAGAAAACGAGCCATCCAACAGGAAGATGCCCCAATTAATGGGGAGAAGAGCCCGCCCTTTATCCACGAAATGTTAGCAACAAGGAGTTTACATCTTCACTCTTCCCATCTAAATCGCTTCAATTGAGTGCCCTGATAGACCCTCCTCATCCCAATTTTTTTATGTACAGTAATATGTAATATTATAATCAGATAATCAGAAGCATAACGTCTACAATAATATGCGAGTCGATTGAAATTTGCCGAAAATAAATGAGGGCTAAGTTGATTCTTAACATAGAAGCGTAGATGCATAGGTGAAGGGTAAGCGAAAGGAGAGTCAAAGGTGGTGACATGCAGAATTAGAAGTCGTTAAGATTGAATGCAATTTTTTTAATATCGTTGATCCAATTACCCATCATATAAATTTGCATTTTATCTAGTTTTGATTATAGTCAATAATACTTACAGTTCGATGAAGATGGTGCTACCTATTTTACATTTTTATGTGATACCAATCGTCACAGAAGCCAACATTGAATCGTAGACCAGGTCCATTGACAATACACTTGTTCCGAGAAGGAGCTCTATGGTACCACTCATACTGTGTGTATCATCTTCTTCTTCTTCAGGTTCGCTCACCACCCGGAATGAACGCTCGGTGCATCATAGATGTGATATGGTTATTAATATCAAATAATGTTACACGTAAACGAAAAAGAGATACAACCAGGATTAGTTTTTTAATGTATTAGTTTCATTTGAATACCCAACTAACCATATCGTATCTCAGTGCCATTGTCTCAGTCTGAATCTAAATTTCAAGTTATTTTGTGATTATTTGGTGACTTGGATACTCACATAAAATGATGTGCAAGTCACAAGTTCAACAACGCCTAACTATGGACAGCTCAATGCTTATCCCATTTATTCTTTGAATCAGCGAGCACCGACATGATTATCTGCTAGGAAACACCCAAGAATATATAGAGATAAAGCTTGAAAATACAATTTTAACTTTATAAACTTTATAGTACTTTATAAACATCAAGCTAATCCATATTGGACCCTGGCCGCCCACGGCGCCTGCACGGTAATGTGGGCCATCAGAATGGTTCATCGGTTACGAAGTGAAGTACTTCTCAAACTGAAGCGATACATTTCTCAATGTTTCAACTTTATCCTAATGTAAACTGAATATTATCACCCATATGCCCGTCCACATCCGAAACGAGAAATATGGGTATACATCTTCACTATCGGAACTACGGGTAATCATCGAAAGTACTTGCATTATACTCAGATACTTTTGAGCAAACTGCAATGACGCTCTCATACTCAAAATGTGCCACGACCAACCTGGCACAACGATGCCCTAAAAGTTCTCTGATCAAAGCGCAAGGGTGTTACTGTTTATAAGGTAGAGAACTACTTCGGCCTAATCGTCCATTTTGGGCCTATCAAGCAAAACATCCATGGTTTCTGAGTTAACAAGCCAGTTATGCGTTTGGTACGATACTTTAGTTAATAAGCTACCGAACGAAGTCAATGAGAACGCGTGATATGAAGGTTTGCACCCATTATTCCCAAAAACAAAAGAAG